CATTTGTTGTTTTGGACCGCATATTGGGTGATATTGATGGTTTGTAGAATACATATTGTCTGGTACACCTCAGATGGAAAGGCGTTGCGAGATGAATGCCGATTGGTGCTAGTTCGAGAATATTGTTGTTTGGGCGCCTAATGTCGTAATCACCTGTAAGCAAGGTTCTCGAATCACCGAGTGCATACATAGTCAGCGTACCATTTGGGAAGCCCATATTCATATTATACACAGGGAACTTGGGGAACCCGTACTTGTCGTTACCACTGACGACAACGTTGTTGCCCTCCGCTTGCTGCCAGTAAATCATCTAGGATGGAAGATGAGAAGACGCTCAAAAGAACAGTTCAGAGATCCACAGACTTGTTTCGGTCCGGTGACGCACTGTGCTGAATTGTCCTGGCACCACTGTGGCGCAACGGCGGGGTATTTTATCGTGCGCACGGGATTCGTCTTGCTTCCCGTGACGGTACAGCGAAAGCCCTGCATGTACAGAGTAGGCTCGCCGCATCTAGATAACACGGAGTAAGTCCAAGACTAGCACTATCTGAAATATATAAGTTATCACCCGTTTGGTATCCACCCAAACTGGACGATTGCAAAGGGCGTCAGCAGGATTATTGGATGACGGTAGCCAAGCGCCACGTACAGCACATATGCACCCTGCAGCGGGACATGGAGGGAGGTCAGGTACAGAGTACTTGGCTATGCGCTTCCATGGCGTACTATATGAGAAAAATGGAATCAGTACCCGGTCCATTCCATAGGAGTCAAAACACACTTGTACAGAACAGAAAAAACGACAAGGTTCTCCGGCGTCACGTCTGGAATTTCGGACTGGTACGAGATAGCGAATGCGGTTCCGGAGGCCATGCTTTCATTCTGGGTGTGTACTGGGGTCGACGAGCTCAGAGATGAGCCCGTAAGAAAATAATCAAATAAGGGGATAAATACTGTTAGGGTTGGAGATGCACTCCGAACCAGGCTGCTTGCCATCGCTAGTCGTGCCAAGGCCTGGGTGCTCCTGACCATCCACATAGGTCCCAAGAACAGGATCGGATACGAGATTGGTGAATACGCGGTTGACAGCATGTTCCACTGTGAAATCGCCGTTCGCTGGCCTGATTTTGGAGGGGTCAATCAAATAGTGAACGTAGAGGGACACGACTCACAACTCGAGGAAGTTTCCGGCATCAGGAGGAAACTTGTCGCACTGTACAGAATGTCTAGGTCAGACCAGATCAATACACATCCTCGGAGCACATAACCCACATCGTTTATAGCATGGAACCACCATTGCGCTTTGGTCAACTGTACAAGTGTTTATCAGAAATGGGGGATATCTGATTGCTGATAAACGACCGACGTTATACATCGGCTGGAAAGCAGCGTTCGTATTGCGGTCATCGTCGCCTGCTTTATTTCCTCTCATACAATACATGCCTCAAAGATAAAATTAGCGGCTACCCTTCCAGCGCGATGACAGAACTAGCTTAATAGCACACCTTTATGCCACGCTCCAACATGAGCACTGACGTGCCCTTCCAGAATAAGGAATGTGGCGAGCAAAATAAAGCGTGTCATCGATATCTAACCAATGTCCGAACGAGGGAGTAGGGAAGGCTAGAGTGGGTAGAATCGACACCGCGACGATACCCTGCAGAGTGGTTTTGACCGCAGTGGACTTTATAGCAATGACAATAGGGCGAAGGCAATAAGATCGAACACGGCGAAAATGGAATGCACTCTGCCCCTTCTCGGTGGAGCGTCATTCAAAGACGTAAGCCGCGGGTCCAGTTAATTCTAGAAAGAGGGGATGGTCAACCCTAGAATATTTAGTGATAAGTGGCATTCATCCGCGTGAGAGGGGTATACTAGTCAGTATCCTGATGCTTTTATGAGTCAAATCCATCTTCGCCCTAGAGATCTCCAGGTAGAGAGTGAACACCCTTCTGATGGTCCCCTCTCTCACCACGCACAGCTTCGACTCCGTGGAGTTACAAGTGGGGAAAAGGATTACTGCAGGAACGCCAGACGCCGCGCTGAAGTTGTAATACAAGGGAGCGATGGTGATTTTTTCTGCTCTATTCGGCCCCAAGAATTTCCTATAACAGCCAAATAAAAGCCATCTCTTGGAAAACTGCAAGGTCACAGAGAAAAACAGCGAGCCCGGGTGGCTTTGAGTTGAATTACTACAAGGAGAACCACCCCTTGGTGTAAATCACCTATCGAAGAAAAGGGTGGAAATCCGAGGAGGTTGTAACTGGACGCAGTTGGGTAGCATGGCACTCAAAGGCGGGAGAAACAAGAGTGCACCATCAGACCAGTAGAAGCATCGCAGCGCACGAGAATACTGTCAAAGCGTACCCACACCAGAGCCTTTCAGGTCTGGGTTGTAAAAAGCATGATAGTTTGTCTGCGGGCTAAACTTAGAAGTTGATCAGAGAAAGATATCCAAAGGAGGATGAGTTCAGCACAAGTCGAACACGAGGAAAGTCGAGCACGAGGAGTCTGACTTTTGATATCGGTCGTGCGTCTTGGGGTATACTGAGGCTTTGAGGGGCTGGAAAGAAAGTTCGTTGCGCAAGGCAGACTTTAGGTTTCAGGTGGATTGCGGTAGCGTGGCAATGTTAATGAGGCCTAAGGCCACTGAGGGGCGACGTGTCGTTCTTTGTGAAAACGTCGATGTCGTCAGATGTACGCTCTCATGCGTAGAATATGCTTAGCCGCTATCGAGCAAGTATGTAAACGGATAGATCGGCGGGGTACTCCTGAATGAGCGAATTTCCAGGTTGCAGGTGGTTGAAAACGAGGGGTTTGTTGCAAAATTAGGCGAAGATGGCAGAAGGTCTATATTAGGAAGTATTCGCACAGTGTCACAGCCACGCCACCGCTGTAAGCGACGCTCTCGACTGACTACGCGTCGACATGGGAGTCATGATGAAGCCTAACAACTTGCCATCGTCCAACAATATCTCGTCATTGAATTTTGGCCAGATTTCTATCTCATCTCTTCAAAATGGCCCCCACTGTTACCCGGATCGATTTCTCTAACACGGCGCTGAATCACTATGCAGGATTCTACGCAGCTATTCTAGACGACGTATTCACCCAGGAAGAATGCCGCGCCCTCGTTTCCCTTGCTGTTTCTTCCGAATCGTGGAAGCCTGCGACATTGCCTGCTGGTGGGGATATACCGACCGTGCACACCGAGTTTAGGAACAGCGAGCGCATCTTGTTCTTCGACGAAGACGCCGCACATCGCATATACCTGCGGCTTCGCCCGCTCGTCGAAGCGGAGCTAGGCGAGATTACTGTTGGAGAGGATTGGGACGGCATTACCGGTAAGAAAGGGAGAAAGCAGGGGCCTACGTGGAAGCTGGCTGGGTAAGTGGCTTTTCGCTGCAGCCCCATCACGTCAAACAAAATACCGCTTCCAGCGTGAATCCGCGCCTGAGCTTTCTAAGATACGGACCAGGCCATTATTTCAACCCTCACTGCGACGGATTGAACACCTTGCCCCAGGAAGATGGCTCTTCCCTCAAGTCTTTCGTCACGCTGCATCTCTACTTAAATGGAACCGGAGATCAAGAACTCGAGGGCGCAGGTGCCGAGTCGAGCAGGATGATCCCGAAGGATGCAAATCTCAAACTATTCGACGAGGATCCTGACGCGCCGCTCCTCGGAGGTGCAACCAGATTCTGGACGCCGGACAGGAAACACTACTTGGACGTATTTCCGCTCACTGGAAGAGTTCTTGTGTTCCAGCAGAGGATGTTAGTCCACAGCGGCGAAAAGGTAGTGAACGGGGTGAAGTATACTATGAGAAGTGACTTCATGTTTTCAGAGACGAATTGACCAAATTTAACATCATTGCTACAGTGTCAGGATTGGTGCAAGTGCGTATTTGACGCCAAAGAGTTCCACATTTAACAGCCCATCATTTCGCATGGGCAGCCTTGACAGAGGACGAAGATCAGGATGGATACCACAAAAATCAGGATCCGTTACTCACATATTATATCTGCAACGCAGTCGCATATTCCCTGCAAGTACGTAAGTACGTGCAAGGACGGCGAAAGAGAAACCAACCTCGCAACACTCCATGCATACACAGGCTCCAAGAATACCTACGAAGCAGTCCTGATGCGCGGATGTTGTTATTAGTTTCAGTGAAAAGCTGAGGATTGAAGAACTAACTTTAGCGGCGCCGCCCCCTCGGACCCTGGATGCTTTTGTCTGCTGTGCTTCAACAACGCCAGGCATCGAGACGCCCTTCGCAAAATCTACAATGCCAGTCGTTGTTGAATTTTAGAGGTCGTAGCCGCTGTCTTGATTACACTCACTCTGTGGAGCTCCTGCTCCTGGTTGGGTCGTCACTGGGGAACTCGAGATAGCGGCATTCGGGTAGGAAAGAGATGGTTGCTCCATTACTGAGGTAGACTGTTAGTAGGGTCGACGAGTGAGGGTGTGGGTCCCCCAGCATTGGTTCAGCGTGTTTATACTGAAACCAGCTCCCTTGAGACTGTCTGCGATTGTGGATAACATGATGTTATACATGATGTGGTGGTGGGGCATCTAAAAATATTGTCTGGCGGAATCAAAGCTAGGAATTAGCTTGAAACAAGGGTGGTGCATTGGTGCAAGGTTGGTGGCGGCGTGGAGATAAAGGGCAAGCTGTTATGAATTCATTTATTTCAAAGCGATGAGATCATGGTTTGGCCGCATAGTGGTTTCAACTTTCAGAAATAGCGAGTCATTAAGAAACTTGCGGAGCGTAAGTCCTCCGCCGTCCGGAGTCCGCAGTGCACAGTGGGCAACCCAGGTCCAAGGGTCTGGGAGCCGCGACTCCCGACGTCGGACAGTCGACGACTCGACTCGGAAGTTGAAACTTGAAACTCCCAAATTCCACTATTTCCTTAAAATTCCAAGTTCCAACCTAAAAAATCAAAAGTTTGGATCGATGAGAAGTGGAAGAAAAAATTCGGATGTATCCATGTAGCCCACCGCGAGGGTCGAACTCGCAGCCTTCAGATATCGAAGGGAGAAGACCCGCCTAAGAGTCTGACGCTCTATCCGATTGAGCTAGGCGGGCTTGCATATTTTGGTCTACTTAGCTCAACTAGGGCTGCGTAGCACAAGTTGAGGGTCTCGTCAACTCAAATTCACTGGCACCTACGGTTTGCTTCGTTCGCCATGTCCCAAGGCCTTGTTATTTGATGGGTTGTCAGGGATTGTCAGTGACCTCCTACTTCCAGTACGATTATGCGCTTAGGGCATGCGGCATAATTTCAGTGGTCAAATGGATCCATTATTTCCTCAACGATCGCCACGGACAGGTCGCCTTCTAATCTATTGATGACCAAAGCTTGAATATCTCATCTGTGCATCTCATTCTGTCAGTACCAAGTTGAGGACGTCATGCTCGTCCATATTCCTCACCTCGTACAAAAGCGCACCTCAATACTAAAAATTGAACAAGACAACTAGTTCTGTCGCCGGTCTGTATTTTCCAGATTCTGAGCCTTGCTGGCGTTGGATAGGGTTTGATTCAAGGTCATTCGAGGTTGCTTAGGAGGAGTCGGGGAAATACCATGGTGCCTCTGAACGAACAGTAGATTTTAGTTCGCACAAAGCTGGGGACAATATGATGAAGATGAGACTGCAGGAACTATATTCATGGGAAGAAAGCATGAAAAAAGCACATAAGTATATAATACAACACCTTGAACCCAACTGTATAAACCTGGCAGTATGCACCACAGCAAATGAGCCCCGCTATGGTTGGTGGGACCCTACAATCTCTCGTGCCCATGCTGCATCGGACGCGATCTGTTCCGCGAAGAATTGTCCGAGAAGGTCTTCCAAATGCGCATATGTGTCCGAATCGCTTGACCTAGATAGATCCAAGGATTCTACCATGTCAGATGGAGGGTGAAGCACCCGTAAGGCATCCTGTAAAGGTGTTAGAAAGTGGTCGTGGAATGTAAAATTAGTGCGCACCATGACAGAGTTGACGAGGTTACTGGAGTTTATACCGTGTTCCCTATCCATGTCCGATTCAGCCGCGACAACCTTTGCGCCTCCACCTTCGACCAGTCCCTTCCTGACAGCCTCTTTTCCGACGCCAACGAGGCCGCGAATGGCACCTTCGCGTGTCCCGTAGCTCTTTCCCGGCGATATCAGCGCCAACAAAAGGGTTTTCATGATGCGCGGTGAAAGAGAGGGATATGTGGTTGAATGTTGCGTCAACAATTTCGAGAGCGTTTGGGATGCAGTCGTCCTCAACTGGGTGGCATGGCTTGGATGCAGTGACGAGTGAAGAAGGACAGAAAGTATGGGAGGGAGGATTTGATGCAGCTAAAAATGCAGATGTAAGTTCTCGAAGCAAGAAACTGGAGCGCATGAATGACTCACATAGGGTTCAATGAATAACGTATTATTATCCAAGATGGCACTGATCACATCCAGCAAAACATGCAGCACCCTGCCTTCATTCTCGCCGGCAGAATCTTCTTTGAGTGAGCCAACAACACCCTCAGCCACCCAGCGCACTAAGTATGGTAAAAGAGCCTGCAGACCAGCATCGCTCCGCAAGCTTGCCAATGCTGCTGTTCGTTTAGATAAGTCAGAAGAAGGTGGGAGTAGGGAGGACGTGAGGCGGGCGTAGTATAATTGCAATTCTCTTGATAGAACTTGTTTGACAATTTGTTGATTTGGGCTTTGGTTTGCCTGTTGACCGGTGGAGGGTTTCTTCACTCCAGGCGGTAAATTTCCCGCGGGTCCCAAAGGAAGGCCTGAGCCATTAACCAAAGGTGAAATACCGTTGACCTTGAGTATGTCCCCCTTGGTAGAGGCATCGCCGTCTGTTTCGCGGGGTATCGCAGGCGGGTTTTCGGGTATCAGTGGCTGGACGCCCTCAACTGCCAACCAATGTGCCGTCCAACTGACACCCTTTGGTAGCGCTATTTTCTCTTCTCGTAGAACGCGGTCAAAGTCAATTTCCTCGTCTTCTGGGAAGTATACCGGTCCAGCAGCTGGGACTTGTGGGAATGGGAGCGCGCGGCGGAAGACGGTGGGGTTATATGGGGAATGTCCATAGAGTGGTTCGATGTTGAGGACGCGCAGGGCTTGTTCGATATCTGCTGTTGTCATCGTTGTTCGTCGGCCATGTCGCATGAAACGCGCTGCTTCCTAGAGATCCTCAGCACTCGTTTACTTCTCAAAACCTGCGCCATACCTCGATGAGTTGATTGATGCGATACTCGACATCGCTGGTTAGAGATGACGCGACATTATCCGGAATTGATATATTCAAAGATTCAGAGATGTCCTGTGTTTGAACGAGATTGAATATCGCCATTCTTGCTCCCGTTACGTGGTATGTAGACCAACCTTGATAGAGTCGACTTTATAGACGCCCGTCTGGGTTCCTTGACCCCCACGCGTCTTGGGTTTCAAATTCGTTGGAGCCTGCATGATTGTATCGCGGCGCTTCGTTCGTCGTGATTATTTCCCGCATATACGTTGCCTGTGCTGAACCGTCAAGGGCAAGCCACCAGAAGACTCGTAATTGCAGCCGCAGCCCGCTTCAGCGTTCTTGAAACGTCCAAGCGTGATGCATCATGCAGCGCGCGTGCAGGTCTAAGCGATGTTTGCCATTGTTATCGGCAAACGGTGACGTCATCTCGGGGCTCTCAAGTTCTGGTACATTCTGCGTCCTTCCCCTCTACTACTTACTTAACTTGATATAACCTCTTAGAAGTCAGAGCTACTCAATCACTCATTCTAGAATCGTTGAATGTCCAATGCCAACCTCAGAGTCACGAATCCTTAAAGTCTACCATTGAATGCCGAACTCATCTGATCCCGCTATGTCTCGCGCCCCGAGTCTACAGCGATCTGTAACCTCAACCTCAGCTGTATCTAGTACGGGATTGTCCAACGCAGGAAAATCCAGGTCCTCGTCGACATCTAAAAAACCGGCGAACGTATTTTCCGCTGATGGCACATTCTTGGATAGGGTAAGACGTTCTCTAAAGGTCGGGAGCATACAATTTCGCTCTGCATCTATACCTGGGCGATTTGCTGACACTCAAATTACTTGAAACAGGATGAAGACGACAGGAAAAGGCAACTAGAAATCCTTGAAAGGTTGGTGGGCGTACTGTATTCCAAGATTATTCTTTTCTTCTTTACCTGCTGACGCGTCTCATTGATTGCAAACTCGCAATGCAGGAAGAAAACATTTGCAGATCGTTTTGTATGTACCGCGTCGTTTTTCATTCCTCCAAGTCCCCATATTTAACTTTGTTATAACAGAAAAAGCGCGGAAAGCGTGTTTTATCTGTTCCTGAACCTTCTTTAGACGCCGATCCTCAAGATAACACCTCTGACGTCGAATGTTCAACAAAAAAGAAACGAAGGATATCCGATGTGGACTCTACTGCGGAATTACGGGGTAACCATGCAAACAAAGAGAAGAAGGATATTATGCTCGATGATAATTCAGTGGACAACAGTCCTCAAGGTTCGTCTGCCTATATTGTTGTGCCAGTCAAATATGGATGTTCACGTTGCTTCCAAAGCCCAATACCACCAGGTTGTAGGCTTATATACAACCAGCCTCACAGACGCTGGAACGGGCGTAAGACCTTTCTTTAAATGATTCTGATAAATATCTCCTGTCGTAACCCAGGCCTCAATCCTGAGAGTGAGTCTTTCTTAGCAAACGTGTTAAATCTTCAAGATTGCACTTACTAACTTAGTAGATTGTCTTCAGCCCTGCCTAGCTTTCTGCATGCCCATGACCTCCCTGTCAGTGTGCATGTACGCTGCTTTCTACAAACTTTGTGTGCTGGGTGGCTCTATGATTTCGGACCCAATGTATTACATCACAGATTCTTGGTTTCGACGCACCCTGGGCCATTTTTATTTGGATGAGATCAACTTTGAGAGATTTACCATTGGTACCAAGAAATGCATAGCTAACTAGGGAAATACATGAATGCATACACGTTCTCATTCTCAAAACGAGCAAGCCTCGTAAGAAGCTGAATGAAAGTTATCCGTCCTTATGATTCCGAACTGAAAACAAGTCCAAAGACATGCCGAATGGCAGCTACCCTTCCAAAACACGGTATACCTTGTAAGAAAAGTTTGTCAGATGTGCATTCCCGCAACACGACGTTCACTGTCGCTTACTTTTACGAGGCCACTTTTGAGATCTTCCAATCGATAACTGACCGACTCCACAGTCTGATTCGAAAGGAATGAGCACATACTGTCAATTGCAAAGTAGCCGATAAATCAGCTCACCTGTTGGCCAACATGCTGATTCGCATGGAACACCCTAATCTTCGTCTTCTTCGCCTCGAACTCACCAACGACACCGACAAGCGCCTCACCTGCCCCGCCCACATTTTGGTGGTACGTCTGCAGTCCCTTGTGGCCCTTCAGCTTCGCGTCGTGGATCTCGACGATGTCGCCCGGCATGATGTCGCTCGCGCGCTTCTGCACCGCAGGCCCGTTCTGCATGTATACAAGGTACCCGTACTCGCCCGCCGCATTCGGTCCCACCGCCGCGTTCGGCACCATCGCGAGCACGGCCTGCACGAAGCCCGCGTACGTCCCGTCGCCGACGAGTGTCTTCTTCGACTTCTCGAAGATTGACGTCGCGACTTCGCACACTTGCACACCGACGCGGCCCCATAAGGCCATCAGGTCGTCTGCGGACAGAAGCAACTCGGATGTCGGGGGCGGCCGCTTCGCCGGGGTGGGCGGCGGAGGTGGCGAGGCCGGCATTGCGTGCTCAGCCCCGGCGTCGGTCCAGGACAGCGACAGGTCAGCATCGCCACCGAAGTCCAGAGCAGACACCGGAATAGACGGTAGTTCCCATTGCGAGGAGATGCTGTCGCTCGGGTCGCCGCTCGCAGTTCTCGCAGTGGGTACTTGTGGTACCTGTGGTGCGTTACGCATCGGTGGGACTCGACTTGTCGGGCGTGCCGGCGGCGGGAGGGCTTCCTGTGATTCGGGCTCTTCAACCATCACATATTCAGATTGGTGCGGTGGTATGAACCCAGATGACTTGCGCGG